CCTTCATGTTCTCTCAAACAAAAAAAAGATTTTCTTCAAAAGGCATTTGGGAATAGAAAATTGAGTTGGAATAAAATATGTGCCTGTTGGTCTTAATAGCTGCAGCTCTGCTATCTATTTTCTCTCCCTCTTTCAGACTGTCAGCAGGGACCGAGTGTTCTTCTGGAGCCAGGGATGGATTTCCTGAACGGTGACAAATAGCAGTAAAGCTTGAAGTCAATTCCACAGTGAAATCATTATATAAATTGCTCTTTCCTGCAGGAAAGAGATGGATGAAAAATAAAACAAATCAAAAAATAGTATGAAATGAATAATCTTACAGTTATGGGAAGCCAGAAAGTACAACCCCAAAAATGATGCTGGCTCAGTCAAGGAGACGAGCATTATAAGGAGCACACCTGCAAATGAAAATCTCAGTTGAGAATTTATGAAAAAATAAAATAGGATCCTGAAGGCTAGATCTGTTCAGATGTACAATGATCTTCCAGGAGGACGTCATGAAACTCCTGCCAGGAGAAAGGCAAACTAGGCCAGAGTGAGTGCCAGCAACCCTAATATTTTGTGTTGGTGTAGGAGCACACAGCTGCCTTGATACTGATCTGGTGTGCTAGGTGCTGCACAAAATTTTGTCCTGGCTCAGAGACTGAAAACTGAACTGAAGACCAGAAAAACAATGGGCATTTGTCTCTGACACAGGGGAGGGGAGAAATGAAAAGCAGCCAACACGCTGCCAAGTCTTTTACAGGCCATACAGACAAGTGATGGAGTGATGGAGAAATCTCAGAAAGATTTTTTTTTTCCTACACATTAATATTTGGTTAGTTGCAAGCTTGGTATAGAAGCATAGAGCTGTCTGAAATGGTGGTGGAACTGCCATGGGGATGTTACAGGTGATCTTGGGATGGAACTGACATCTGGTACTGCACTAAAACAATCCATAGGGATGGGCTGGGGAAAGAAGGCTCCTGGAGCTGAATGCATTCAATGTGGAAGAAAACAGTGCTGGGAGACAGAAAAGGAAGAAGTGGCACAGACAAAGCGACAGACTGAGAACAGTCCTGCACTGTGAGGACAAGGGCTTGGTTATTCAAGAGCTTTCTTTCCCTTTCTTGTTTCTCAGGGGCAGAGCCAACTTTCAAAGGATAATAATACAATCATTTGACTGTGTTAAGAGCTTTATGGCCGGAGTTTACCATATGTTAAAATATTGATTCTATTTCTAACATACGCTTTTGACATGGACATTATTTTTTCTGTATAGAAGACTGACTTCTGCATACAAAAGCTGGGACTTCAAAGCAGGATCCAGTGATGCTGGATAAATACAAAGTGACGTAAGTGAAGCACAAGTCTCAGATTTTTTCCACTCAATTAAATAAAGATAGCAGGAGAGACACTAAGCAGTGCGTGGCGGTGAGAAGCTGGAATAATTAAACAATGATATGACAGAAGGTGCGTTTACGGGCAATTACAGCATGTCTCTGCTGGCACTTCAAGGCACAAGGCCAAAGACTTAAGCGATTGAAACCACACAAGTGGAGCAGTAACCTCCTAGAAATGCCATTCTGGAGCACCTAGCCTTGGAGCCCAGAATGGGGCTCTTACACAGACACAAGACAGCAGTCGGCCTCTGCTTTCCCTGGATGTTATTGGTAGGGATAGAACAGAGAGAGCAGCTGGTCAGAAAGCTGTCTGTGCACCCTGGGGAGCGTATGGTCAGGCACTTGTACTTGTATCCATAGCAGGGAGAGACAGAATCTTTGAGCTGAGGAAGGATGTCTCCTCCTTGTCTTCACGTGTACAGCTTGAGAACAGCACCACAACAAACAACAACGAATTTAAAATGGGTATATTCAGCAGCCTGAACTAGAAGAAATCACTTATATGTTAACAGCATTCCAAAAACAAGCACAGGGTTAAACATCAGGCTACCAAGCTTAAGGCCTTGAAGGCATTTATGATTTCCTCAGGGAATCACAGAGGTTTTCTGCTCCTCCCAGGATGCCAACCCACCTCCTCCCGCTGCCCGGAGGACGGCTCTGCACCCTTCCTACTGCTCAGCAGCTTAAGGGAACAACTGCATGAAATCTGTGCGTGCATTTCTGAAAGCATTTGTATGCATTATTCAACACACGTTAGTCATGCTGGTACACTACGTTTCTTACTTCATCAGCACATACAGAAATGAAACAAGCTCTAAATGTTCAGAAAAGTAGAAGAGAGACCTCCCTGAAAAGCAAACAGAGATAGGTGTTGTTAAAAGCTTCTTAAACTGTCAACAAAGTATTTACTTAAATTACTTGAACTCAGAGCTGAAAACTGCTCTCAATATGAGCAATTCTCTCAAATTTTTTTTAAACACCCTTTGTTTGAGGTTGCTTGGTTATATGGGATGCTCAACCAGATTTTCCTTTTTAAAGTAAGGACTCAATCCAGACTTTCTTGTTGCATGGGGGAAAAAAAAGGGGGGGGGGGATGAAACATGAACTTGAAAGGCTCAAAAAATCAGAATACAAATGAAAAGCATTTAAAACGTATGAAGACAAAAACCAAGATTTGTAAACAAATGGGACTGGCTTCACCTAAACACTTTTTCCTTCTACTTAGAATGTTTCTCAGTACTTAAAATAAATGATGTCTTATGTATGCAGTGGCATATGCAGCAAGCGGCTGCCACAGTATGAAACTCTCTGGATTCCAGCAATGCACATCTCTGCTGTCTGTCACACTCAGAATATCTGGAGAGAGGAGGAGGAAAACAAGCTTATCATTTATACAATTATTGCTGGTTTTGTGGTCGTGAGGCTTTCTGCAGAGTACAAGAATAACTTGTTTGCAACACCAGTAAAAAAAAAGATGGAACCTAGAGTGCGTTGTCTCTCTCTGGAAGCCTGCTCACCCAGTGTCAGACGCCATCTGGCTTCACCCCAAGGCCAGCTCTCAGCACAGTAAGGGCACAACTTCAGACCTGGGTGCCCCCCAAGGTCACGCACTGATCGTGCCATCCCACTGCAAGCGCATGTCTTGCTCCGTAAGAAAAAGAGCGTGTATTAGAGTACAACAGCCCCCAGATGTAGGAAATGGGAAAAAAAAACAAACCTAAACCAATATAACTATGCTTTCCTTAGCAGAACAAAAATGGGGTCCCCCATATATAAATGGAAAAGTCACGCCTTATGTGTGAGCTTAACTGCAGCTAATATTACTCTAGTGGATGAACACTAGTCTTACTCAAAGCCAAAACCATCACTACTTTTCAGGCACCTTGAAAAGTATGATCCTGAGCACCCAGCAATGCCCATGCCTCTCGTGCAGTCCTCCCAATCCTGAGGATAAGAACTGCATTTTCCTTAACAGAAAGAAGTTTCTTAAAAACACACTTACCAGAGACTGCTGAAAACAATCCCCATAATCGCTCTGTCTCGGTGTTACCAGCTTTCCAGATAGGCTGCCAAGCCGGCATTTGACTAACTAAGAAAATAGGTTTAGCACAAATCTCGATTCCTCTTCCCAAGCACTAAAATGCTTAAGTAGCACATCGAGTTGACCATTGTTTCTTATCACCAAGCAAACAAACCTCGTTGGCAGGAAAACTGCATTTACACAGCGACTCCTTGCATGACTGAGATGGGCTCTGGTTGCTACAGATGCCGATCCTCATGGTCATCCACAACGTCAAAAAACCTATCCCACACTTTGATTTCAACGTCTTGCTTTCAGTTCATTTTCTGTTTCTCCGCAGACCATATTTGTTACCACAGGAGTAACTTGGTTTCACAGCACACAATTTTCATTCGTAACAGGCTGTCTTTTCCATTCATTTTTAACCAGAGTTAAGATGTTGGATCAGTTAAAACAAACTACCAAGTCACTGATCTGCAAATTATATGTAATGTGCAAAACATTCTGGTCTGCAAACATTCACAGTCTTCATAAATCAAACCCCAGTCCCTCGTCCTTTCCCTTCCAATCAGTAGGAAATACTAATTAGCACGCCAGCTAGCACACCAGAGAAACTGCTTTTCCCACTGAAATCAGTGAGAACACTTCTGTGCACTTACTTCAAAGGGTACACAAGGATGTCCAAAGCAAGCACATCCATTTTACAGTCTTGCCAATGCCAATCTTTTGACCTGCAAGTGGAATGCAAGTGGAATCACAGCAGAAGCAGGCCCGCTTCTGGGCCATCTGAAACCAAACCAAAAGTGTTATCTTTGGCTGACTCCACAAAAGGCAGGAAGTCGGGGACCCATTTTCAGCCTCTGCAGGTTGCTCTGCTGGCCCCAAATGCAACGAGCAGGCAAGACTTCAAGAGAAGTGGAAGCTGGCTACCTGAGGGACCGTCAGTTTCCTACCGTAGGTTGCCTCAGAGGAAAAAGGAAATAGTTCTGGAACAATGCAGGCAGGCTTTAAATAACTGTCAGAGAGGTGCTGCTTACTGGAAGTTAAAGGTTTATCCCAGATCTTACCGTGGACCCTAGAGTGCCTTAGGTTCCATAGCAGACAGCAGAGGGAAGCACATGGCCAGCACAGAAATCATCACAGAATCCTAAGAAGCTGGATTTGGTAGGGAGCTTTAAAGGCCATCTGGCCCAGCCCCCTGCTTGAACAGGGACACCTACAGCTCCATCAGCGCTCAGAGCCCCATCCAGCCCGACCCCGGCTGTCTGCAGGGATGGGACACACCGCCTCTCCGGGCAACGTGTGCCGCTGCCTCACCGCCCTCATTGCAAAAACTTCGTTACCTGCAGACCCTCAAGGTAACCCACGGCCAACACAAACAGCACGTGCGGGAACACGGGTAACCTCACTGGCGAGAGCTGCTGGGGTCCAGCAGCTCCGGAAGGCAGGCCGGGCCCGTCCCGAGGGCTGCGAGCCGAACCTACCCGCACCGCCCCGTGCCGCAGGCGGCTCCGCACACGGCTCTGCGCCGAGCTGCTGCACGGCAGCGGGACGGATCCTCGGAAATGCAAATCCGCGCTCTGCGGGGGATCCCGGCGCACCGGCCGGGCCGGTTTGGCTGCATTTATGCCCTGAACCTTCGAGGCTTTTACCGGCGTTTACCTTCTAACCAGCAGGGTGATCCACCCCGCGAACCCCGCGGCGCTGCCCGGAGACGAGCTCGGGAACGCGTCAGACCGGGCAGAGCCCACCTGTCGGTCGGTACCCGCTGGGTTCTTATGAAAAGCAGCGATCCCCGCGCCTCGCGGCCACGCCAGCTGCACGCATTCAGACAGGCCGGCCGCAGCCGAGCCGGCGTGCCCCGACAGCAGCCGGCATGGCACCGCGCTGCAGAACCAGCTGCTTCCCTCAGTGCCCACCGCGGAGATGGGCGGCCGACGCCTTTCTCCCCCCATAAGGACTACAACCCCCAGCATGCACTGCGCGCGGGCGCGACGCATGCCGGGATTTGCGGCTTTCTGGGCAGCCCGGCGCATGCGCGTGCGGCTGGAAGGCGCCATGCCGGAGGGGAAGGGCGCGTTCCGGGAGGTGCTGCCTAAACAAGGTACGGCCGGCGGGCGAGACGCGGCCACGGGCACCACCGCGAGGCGGCTGACGCGCGCGCTGCTCTGTCTCCTTCACAGGGCAGCTGTCCGTGGAAGACGCGGCCGGCATGGTGCTGTGCAAGCCAAAGGTGCTGCCCCTCAAATCGGTGTCGCTGGAGAAGCTGGAGCAGCTGCAGCGCGCGGCCATGGAGGCGTCGCGGCCGCCCGAGGGCACTGCGGGCCCCCAGCCGCAGCCCTAGGAGGGGAGCCAGGTACCGGCCGAGCGGCCCGGAGCCTCCTTTCGTCTCGCTCTTCCCTCACGGTTGCACTGCGACCGGCCACGCGCGGCCGAGGCGGCGGCTTTCCTCCCGCAGAGCCGCAGCTGCGCCCCAGCGGCTTCAGCGGGTCCAGCGCCTGAGGCTGCGGTGCAGCGCTGAGAGGGAACGGCGGCACCGTGATAAAAGGCTTGTTAATTCCGCGCCGTAACATTCGTACCGTTAGTTTAATTATTTCAGCCTCCTGCGGCTCCCAGGGAGCGGAGGGGCAGCGCTGAGCTCTGCTGCTCTGCGACGGCAGCAACGGAGCTGCAGGGAACGGCACGGAGCTGCGGCCGGGCAGGGGCGGGTAGAGAGGTTCTGCCCCCAAGGCAGCGGGCACGGCACCGAGCTGCTCTTACAAACACGGCTTGAATGTGGCGTGATCGCGTGCGGAGCCAGCAGTTGGGCTCACACCTTGTGGGTCCCCTTCAGGACTGTCCGTCATTCTGTACTCACTCAGTATCTATTGTAATACAGAAGGTTGGTGAGAGAAGTGCTGCGCAGTGCACGTGCTTCAGAGATTGGAACAGCGTAAAAGCAAAAGGCAGGAAGGAGAGCTTCACAAAAAAATATTTTTAATATGTTTTTACCAGAATTTTTCACTTTTCCAGTTACATAGAAAAAAGGACCGGTTTGGTACGTGCTGGCTGGAACATCTAAAACCGACCAGTGGAACAGGTGAACTTGTCCAATGACCCAGCTCTCTTTTCTTGGGCTCTTTAAGACAAAGAAACAGCTATTTTTCCTCCCAAAGCACAGTATTTCAGCAGCAGCAACGAAGGGAATCACAGCAGCTTAACCTGACCCTTCTAAAAGCTCGTATAAATCGGGGATTTTACAATGAAAACACTGTCCTTGAAAGAAACAGCGGCAGTCAGACGTGGATGCAAACATGGAATGATAGGTCATAAACATGGCACTTACAAAAAGATAGCTTATCTGAAGGCACCACAACAGAGTGGCCAGTTGGTCTACTGGATGCCCAAAGAAAGAACTTTTCTTTCTGAAATTTATAAAACTATTTAAAAAAAATGATCTGTACCCAAAACATGTGCTCTTAAAAAAATATGAACTGTGCTAAGCAACTCTTAGAAATTTGGTATATAATATATGCATATACATACATACATGCACACATACCAAAAAGGCCTGTGTGTTTGTATGTATATATATATAGATACCTATCTTTTCTCCCTTTCAACTTCTAAGGCTTCAGCAGTTGGTTCCAACATTCAGTAGCTTTCTAGTTTAAGCTGGCCTCCATCTCCTTCACTCACAAAACGCTTCCTGCCCCTGTAGAAAAAGTAGAAAGTATATTTTCAGCAAGTTTACAGAAACATCACTTCTTTGTTCATCTGTCATTGTGAAGAATCTTCTCTTGGTCTTGGGAGTAAAATGTGGGGTGTGTGAGATTGAGCAAAATGACATTCTTGATTACAAGTAAATTAAAGCATCTGAATCCTACATCTAAGGTTATTAGGCTTTTCAAATTTCTACTTTCCTTACCTTTTAACATTGAACATTACCATTCACACTTCCAAAAGCTGCTAACTTGAAAGCCTACAAATGACATTTTTCTACCCCAAACTGAAACAAGCTCACAATGCCTCAGTATATTGATGAGAGTTGCAGTATAATCCAGCTTTTGTCGCAGCAACAACTTTCAGCCCTAACAAACGCACGTGCAAGTTGATATTGAGATACAGACAAACTAGGAAATATCTGACAGTATTTCTGATGCATGAAATCACGTATAGTTTCAGCACCAAATTTAAACTTTTACAAATTCCCCATAGGAAATGAAATTTACAGGTTGTATTCTGATTGAAAATACAGAATGCTGATTAGCTACAGTAAAACAATAATAAAACAGAGAACACTACAATATATGTGCATCTCATGGTTGTCTTTTTTTTTTTTTTAAATCAGGTATGTAGAGCTTTTGCCACATAAATGCCTTGTAGCTTTTTGACAAAAACATTACAATTGGTTGTCTAATCCTGGAACTCTATTAATTCAGTTTACAATGTTTAAACTGTTTTAAAACATGTTTTTTTTTCCCCTCCAGGTTTGTCTGCATGGATCGTTAAAACTCCTCAATCTTCCAGCTCAGTACTGCACTGATCTCTGCCAAGCAAATGAGCAAAACTGAGAGGAGAGGCAGGCCTTCATCTGCTGCAGCACACAGGCACGCTGCTGGGGCTTCCAGCAGAGGCTGACTTCCTTCAGATATGTATCCACCCTGCTCTTTTTGTTCCTCCACCTTCCCTAGTTTCTGTACCGGCCTGTCATACCCAGGTTACAAGATCCTGCTTTCAAACTGAGCGCCAGCACCTCTTTGTAATAAAACAAGTACCTTGAAGGACAGACGTCTCTCAGTGGTTTGGAGATTATTCCAGCCTGAAAGCATTCCTCTACAAACCTCTCAAGCACAGAATAGGAGTGTGGCACATCCAGGTTAATGTCTGGGATTTCACAGTAAACTCGTTCATAGCCCTGTAGTTTAAGAATGCAAATAATGATTTGGTTGTTCTAGAATTAAAATTTCCTAAACATCTTTTTGCACTCAGAAGATGACTTCTTTTTAATGCAATTTCATGTATTCTTTAAGCAGTTTCAACAAACTGAAAGCAGAATACCTGCAAATTAGTGGCAAAGCAAGGAGTAATACCAGTTCCAAGAGCTGGTGTTACACAACAACATATCTATATGAATACACCAGCTGAGTATTTCAGTTTCTTAAAAAGTCAAAAATCCAGACAGTACAGACTGCATATTATAGCCTAGCTGCTAGTAACAGAAGGAAGAAGGATTAATTGCTCTGTCCTGTAGATAGTGAAGGCCACAGATCTCAATGAGAGATGCAATAAATTACAAATAGCATTTAAAAGAAAATAGAAGCTACTTGAAGATCTTGCCCAGCATTCTTTAAATGCCATACTTACTCTTTTCATTTGGTCCATAGTAATGACAGAAGACCTCGAGAGAGATTTCAGCAAATCCAGCATCATTTTAAAGGTCTTTTCTCCAGTTGACTCCAAAACCATCACAATTGCCTAAAACAAACCATGCAAGGTTTTTAACTAAAAAGAAAATAGTGGTTTGAGTACATGTTGTGTAAGCATACTAAAGTGCAGAAAAGAGTGAATGTAATAATGTGTGTTTTGTGGGAGACAAGTCCATTTGCTAAAAGCAGTCTCAATTCCAGGATATTATTATTTGAAAGGAAAGCCTGATAAAAAGTTATTTGCATGAAGATAAAAGGTATGAAAAAAGAGAAAGGACTAGACAGTAAAGAGTACTGCCTAGTTTGAGGGGTACATAGCGGTATCTGCATGGTTGCTGCAGCACTGATGGCAATTAATTTTGTATCTAGGATTTTAGAAAAAGAACTCCTAAGTTTAAAATGTACACAAACCCCATCAACAAAAGGTGTCTGTTTTCTATCCTAAAATAAGGAGTCAATTTATTGAAAAGATAATTTTATAGACTTTGAGTGTTTGGCTTTCTTGGTAAACAACCATTTCAACTACTAGATACAGCAGAGTTCTTTCTCATATACTGTGGTTCTGAATTATCTCAGCCTTCTACAGATGTAATAAGGTGGAACATTTCCACACTGAAAAGGAAACTATAACTTAACAAGAACAGGTAACACCTGTTAGTACAGCCAGATGTCTGAAATCTGTTGTAATGTGTATTTAAAAGGAAATAAAATCCAATACAACCTGGGAATTTTGCTGGTATTCCTCAGCAGAAAGTAAGCGAGGCTCTTATTTGTCAGATATCTGTCTGAACCCAACAAACAAAATGTAATTCTGGATCTTCCCAGAGGGACCAGCAGCTTCTTGCACAACATACACACAAGTGAGCACATAAACTATTAACTTTACATGAAATAATTCAGTTATTTAAATAACATCAAAACTTCAGATTCCAGTTGCATGCATACCCACATCAAAACAAAACCTGTTGGTGTTACTGGCAGTCATTAAAGGGACTCATTTCTCCTTACTTCATATACAAGTTCATGGTGAAAATGGGGTACTTCCAGTTCCTGAAGGCAACGTTCAGCTTCCAGCAGGTCTCCAGAAAGCAAGTACTCTTTCAGCAGCATATCAATCTATTGCATTTTAAAACAAGCAAAAAAATCCATCACTAGTTAGATACAAGATTTAAAAGCTGTCAACTCTTTTGGTGATCTGTGATCAACCTAGTAGCAAGCCATCTCCTGAAACCTGCAGCTAGAGTTCTACTAACTGTAATTAAATTGAGACATGAACAGCAACCTGAAACACAATGCAAGCCAAATACCTCTCTCTGTAGCATAATACAGATGTGCTAGCACTAAAAACTTTGCTGCAGGTGATGACTGTCAGTTTATCTTAATGCCTGAACTCTTTATCATCTGCTACACTCACAACATAAGATTACATCATGACTATTTTAAACTTCTGCCTACTTCATAGCACAAATCTCTAAGTTTTCACAATCCTATCAGCCTCTTTTACTTTCAAGTTATTGCTGTGCTTTTAGTCACTGACATCAAAAAATAAACTTATTTTGTGATCTAATATTACTTCACCATTTTGTACTATAAACTCTAACAGTTAAGTGCTTGAAGTTTAGCTTGAAGCAAGAATAGCTGTGCACTTGCAATGCAGAATATGAACCAGTATGTTTCCACCACTGATCATAAGGATAGCGACGTCCACCTACAAAATGATCATCAATTTTCAAAACCTACTTTGTATAAAACAAACTGAAATAAGAACATTTTTTAAAAAGTGACACCAAACATCATTTAGCTGCAGGATATGCGTATTTCTCTGCTCCATCCCAAACAAGATAAGCTTAAAGAGTAAACTCTGGAGAGAAGAGACTTGTAGAAGTCAGCTACCTCTTTAACAAGGTGTTTCACAGACTGCTGGCCACCTCCTGAGCCCCACACGTTGTCTA